CCCACGAACTTCAACAGTTCGCCGCCGGCCTTCAGTGCCAAGGAAACAACCGAACCCAGCAGCCCAGGCAAGCCGGCTGCCATCTTTTTTCCTAAGTCCGTTAGTCCATTGCCTAATTTCCTTACGCCCGCGCCTGTAGCCTTAAGCGCGGACAAGATCACGCCTACTACGCTTGAAATAGCGACCGCAAATGCCAGCGGAATGCCATACTTCAAAAGGGCTCTTTTTACCTTTTCCTTGGTAGTAAGCCCCAATTCTCTTTCCAGGTTTTCCTTTTCCGCCTGTAATTCCGCAAGGTGTATTTCAAGCATATCTACTTCCTTTTGAGCTGCTTTCCTTTCTTCTTCGGGACGAGCCTGGTCCGCAATTATTTCCTGCTGCCGCTCTATTTGCCCCTCCAGGTCTTCGATGGCCTGATCTCTTTGCCGGATTTGCTCCTCTTTAGTGTTGATTTCGGCAACCAACTGCCGCCGTTCCTCCAAAGAGCCGGTTATGGTGATATGCAAGTTTTKAGCTTCTTCCTTGCTCATATCCAGGTCTTTTAGAGCAAGATTGAAGGCGTGTCGGGCTTGGTCTCTATCGCGTAGGGCATTGTCTCTTTGTTCTCTCATCTGTACTATTAGCTGATTTTTGTCGTCAAGTTCTCTCTTTTGAGCATCGAGAAGTAGTCGGTTTTGCCTCATGTAATCTGCTTCCCTTTCTTCCAACGTTTCTCGTAGCCCCTCGGCGCGTTTTTCTAGTGCGACCCTTTCATTCAGGGCTTCCAACCTTTCCAACGCACTTCGGGTAGCTAGTTGAAAGCCTCTTAATCTTGCCACGTTAACCTTGACCGAGCCATTTTCGTCAAAGAGGACTTGTGGCTTGGTCCAAAGGTTTTTGTTGGGATATCTCATGTCTTGAACGCTTATGAGGACTTTGTTTCCGCGTTCTGTGAGCCTTACGTCGTCGGCCTCGAAGTGGGAATAGCGCTGCGTTAGCTCTTGCGTTGCCCACTCTACGGTTTCCCGCGCGGTTGCTCCCTGCTCGTTCATATCCTGAAGTTCCAAGTACTCAGGGACGGACTTACCGCGGTTCCTTGATTGCCACATGCGATTCAAGGAGGTCTTGAAGCTTTTCCATCTATTACCATACTTGTTTTCTAGAGCCATGTCGTAGATTAGGGGGTCGGTTT